CCACTTCATCCCTAATCTTCACAAGTCGCTCACTGTCACTGTCACTCACTCTGTCATTCACATTCACTGTCACTTTCACTCGTTATTAGTCTCATCCACTGTCGTTCATCACCATCATTCATCATCAGTATCACTCAATTTCGCTGTCATTCACTATCACTCACTATTACTATCGCTATCACTCACCATACCATCACTATCACCCACCATAACCATCACAATCACTCACCATAACCATCACTATCACCCACCACAACCATCACTATCACCCACCACAACCATCACTATCACCCACCACAACCATCACTATCACCCACCACAACCATCACTATCACCCACCACAACCATCACTATCACCCACCACAACCATCACTATCACCCACCACAACCATCACTACACCCACCACTCCATCACTATCACCCACCACAACCATCACTATCACCCACCACAACCATCACTATCACCCACCACAACCATCACTATCACCCACCACAACCATCACTATCACCCACCACAACCATCACTATCACCCACCACAACCATCACTATCACTCACCATCAAAACTTCCACCGGGTGACTTCAACATCACAGACGAAGTTATTTCCGCACTTTCACTGGCTGGACTTACCTGCTGAGCTGAAGGAAGTTTCCGTTACAAAGATGGCCCTTTTTCGTTAACATTATTGTCGTCATTATTTCGAGTCATTGTCTCTTGGGAGTTGTAATAGTAATAGTAGTAGTAGTGGTGGTCGTAGTAGTAGTTGTAGTAGTTGGAGTAGTAGTACTAATAGGTGTGGTGGTGGTAGCAGCAGTAATAGTAGTAGTAGTAGTAGTTGTTGTTGTTGTTGTTGTTGTTGTTGTTGTAGTAATTGTAGTAGTAGTAGTAGTTGAAGTAGTTTAGTAGTAGTAATAGGTGTGGTGGTGGTAGTAGCTGTAACAGTCGTTGTTGTACTTGTAGTTGTTGTTTTGCAGTAGTGCTAACAACAGATGAAGTAGGAGGAGAAACAGTTTCACAGTCAGCGCCAGTGACAGCACTATAGGCCACCATTATGACCATCATTATCACCACTAGCAGATATCGTTATTTTTATTCTTATTGCACGGTTCTCAATCATTCCCTTTCATTATCATTAATTGAAGTGTTTGTATTTTTTTATTTAATGATTGCATGACTTCGTGACCGCGCGATTGAGCTATATTCCAGAATATAATTAATACCATGACCACATTTTCTGCGTGACTCGCCACTACAATAATTTCCACCTGGGGGGGGGGGGGGTCGGGCGAATTTGCTGCAATTGAGAATCATTTCCGCCAATAGGGGGTGAAGTTACATGTCATCATGATAATTTCCGCCAATAGGAAGACCGCTTGCATTTTCGATGCACTCGGCTTCAACTACCCACCAATAAAGAAGAATGTTACATATTGTGCATGTATCCTGATCATAAATCTAGCCAATGCGAAGACCGCTTGCATTTTCGATGTATTCGGCTTCACCAATTGGGAAGAACGTTACATGCTGTTGATGTGTCCTAGTGATAATTTCCGCCAATAGGGAGACAGCTTGCATTCTCAGTGTACTTGGCTTCAGCTCCCCACCAATAAAGAAGAATGTTACATATTGTGCATGTATCCTGATCATGAATCTAGCCAATAGGGAGACAGCTTGCATTCTCACTCAAATTGTCTTTGAACTCTCTCCAAATAGAAAAAACAAATACATATATCTATCCAAAATTCCCGTCAATAGGCTATATCTTCATTAAATTCAGCTACAGACGCATGCACTCTCCACCAAAAGAAAAGTTACATACTATAAATACCCTAATTACAAAAGCAAGAACTCTAAACAGATAAGGAAGGTTACATCCATTTGACCTGATACTTATATTCCCCATGGAGTCAGTTAGACGAACTTTCAACCAAAAGGATGTAGGTTTACATACCACACATTTACCCTAATGATGATTTCCGTCATTGGGTAACTATCCGAGTGTCTGTGGTTGTATTCGGTTACCAAAAGAAAGAAATTTTACGAAGTACTTGATATCTATTTCTCCTAGCTGTCATTCCCACCATTAGGGGGATTAAATGCCGGACTAAGTGCAATACTTATAAGATTTTAGATGCTACTCTGCATGCAACTTTTATAATTCCACTAGTAGGGAGACCGATTAAATGCTAGCCTGCTTGCAACATTTATTTTTTCATCATCGGGGGACCAATTAAATGCTAACCTACTTGCAACATTTCTTTTTTTTCAACAATTAAATTAAATGCTGGACTATATGCAACGTCTAAAATGTTTACCAATAGGGAGAACGATTAAATACTAGACTACATGACAGGTTATCTACATATGAGTCCAACTTATAGTAGGAACCTCGAGAGAGAGAGAGAGAGAGACGAAGAGGGAGGGATAGAGAGAGAGAGAGAGGAAGAGGGAGGGATAGAGAGAGAGAGAGAGAGACTATTGATGTTTTTCTTATGGATAT